TTCTTTCTTTAGTCATGAAAAACTCATCTAGCTAGCTAACTGCTTAGAATAACCACATGTGACAGACTGTGGCACTAATGTTAGTACAGTATATTATTGTATGATATAATCTATATATGGTAGGCTATAAATTTTTACACAAAGCTTTTTCTGGACAGCTCTAAATTTAAAGTAGACTAGACAATTGAACATACTCCTATCCTTCCTATCTAATAAGAGATAAGGGAGGTACAGCTGGAATAGGGGTGATGAAAATATATGTGAATGGCCAAGGCAAAAAAAATCACAAATCAGAATGTCGAAAACTTCCAAGAAATGCTATAAAACTTAACATAGCCATGACAGAGAAAGACAGAGAGTTCAGAAAACTCCCAAGAGTAATGATTCTACAAAAAGTTCTCCTCTGTCACATTCAGAGAAAGAATGACTGTAGGTCTCAAGATCAGTTGTTAGAGGCTATAATTTTTTTCTACTCATTCCTCTCCAGGCTATACTCCAGACTTCCTCTATCATGCCCCAGTTCTTCATACCTCACTCCAGCCATGTAATCCACACATTGGAAATACCCTTGCTCCTGCGGCCTCACCCTCTGACTAAATGGCTCCTTCTAGAAGCTTCATTTAAGGAAAGAGCCCAGGTCAGCTATGTCTCATTCCTCTCCAGGCTGTACTACAGACTTCCTCCATCATATCCTAACACCAAGTACCTGTGTTCCCTCTCCCCTTTTTAGCTTCATTTTATTTGTTTTCCCCATTCAAATGTGAGCTCCTGGAGGGCAGGGACTGGCCATCTTTCTACTTGTATTTGTACACTTAACACAGTACCTTGAACATAGCAAGGGCTTAAAAAATGTTGGTTGACTGACCCTTAAATTAACAAAATATGGTGGAAAACTGAGTGTCAAGAGAAGAGATTAAGACTCACTTTACAGACTAACTTGGTATAGTAGATTTTCACTCTTAAGGTAGAATTCTATTTTAATATATGGCATTACAGTATGATATCCAGTTTTATGTCACAATATCTATGCAGGTTTCACAGCCCCAATGACAGCACATTCTCATGCCATTTTATTGATGAGAATACAACAAATTTTGTTGAATAAGAATATCCTTTATGACAAATATATTCACAGGTCCCATTCCATTTATTAGACAATGTATATAAAATACACAAAATTATATATTAATAAAATTTGACATGACTAATTTCTTCATGTTGACTATTGCATCAGGATTTCAGGGAATGGGAAGCACTAAATTTCTTGGGTTATCGTTTGTATTATATTATTAAATAAAAAGAGTTATTATTGTTCATTCGTTCGGTCATGTCCAACTCCTCATGATCCCATAGACCATAGCACCAGGCCCTTCTATCCTCCACTATCTCCTGAAGTCTATCTAAGCTCATGTTTGTTGCTTCCATGACACTATCTATCCACTCATCCTCTGCCATCCTTTTGCCTTCAATCTTTCCCAATATCATGGTCTTTTCCAGAGTCTTGTTTTCAAGCTTCAGCTTCAGTATTTGTCCTTCCCATGAGTACTCTAAATTAATTTCTTTAAGTATTGACTGATTTGATGTCCTTGCTGTCCAAAGGATTTTCAGAAAGTCTTCTCCAGCACCACAATTTGAAAGTGTCAATTCTGTGGAGCTCAGCTTTCCTAATAGTCCAACTCTCACAGCCACACATTACCACTGGAAAAACCATAGCTTTGACTACACAGACCTTTATCAGCAAGGTAACATCTCTGCTTTTTAGTATGCTGTCCAGATTTGCCATAACTGTCTTTACAAACATCTTTTAATTTCACGGCTGAAGTTGCCGTCTCAAGTAATCTTTGAGTCCAAGAATATAAAATCTAATACCATTTCTATTTCTTCTCCTTCTAGTTGAGAGGAAGTGATGGGACCAGTTGCCATGATCTTAGTTTTTTTAATATTAAGCTTCAGGACAGCTTTTACACTCTACTCTTTCACCCTTATCAAGAGGCTTTTTAATTCTTCTTCACTTTTTGCCATCAGAATGGTATCATCTGCATATCTGAGATTGTTGATATTTCTCCTGGCAACCTTAATTCCAGCTTTTTATTCATCTAGCCTGGCATTTCACATAATGTAGCTAACAACATACAGCCTTGTCATACTCCTTTCCCAATCTTAAACCAATCAGTTGTTCCATGTTCAGTTCTAACTGTTGCTTCTTGACCTGCATACAGGTTCCTCAGGAAATAAGTAAGATGATCTGGTATTCTCATTATTTTGAGGACTTGCCACATTTTGTCATGAGCCACAGAGCCAAAGGGGAGTAGCCAGCTGCTTATCATTGTCTTGGTGATGGCGTAGTGAGGGCTTATCCGTACTCACTCCTTTGTCCCCAACCAACTATATCTCATGCTTCCTACCTCTCTTGGCCTTTGGATACAAACAACAATCAGCACCCAAATGCACCTCCAACCCTGTAAGGGGATGTAAGCAGTAAACTGGGGTTGCTGCAGCTGCCTGGTTCTTCTTCCTTTTGGATCAAAAAGGCTTAAGCCTCAAATCTGAAACTTAAAAGGAAAGGAAATTCTAAATATAAAAACCACTTTTTAATCACTTGAAATTTTCCCAAGTTTATTTTTCTGTTTCTGTCTCACAAATAAACAGCAAGCAGTCTTTTTCTTTAAGCAACATAAGAAACAAAGGAGGGGAGACCTTTTCAAAACCTAGAGGCCAATTAACTTAGCTGCTGATTGCAGTGTAGTAAATTCAAAAGATTAAGAAAAGCTGGTATTACTTGTGATAAATTAATATCATAACTTACATGCACAGAGAATTTTTATTTGTACTATCAATTAAGTCTGGTCAAATGGAAAACAAAAGACCTTTTGGAAAGAACTCTAAGTATATGATATTTGTAATTAAAAACATTTTCTTTATATCTTTTATTCAGATATTTGACAACTATACATAGAGCATTTTAACCTCATATTAGCATTTGGTACCTATAAGTCTTTAGTTATCAAATGTTTTCCAAACTAGAGTTTAAGTTTCTTGAGAATAGCAATTGTCCCATGCTAGCACACTGCCTTGATCAGTGCCTTGCATACAGTAGGTATTTCATGAATACTTATTGATTATAAAAAACCAATGTCAGTTTTCACTGTGCACATTTAAGAGAAATTTGGAAAAATTAGAAGAGAGTCTAAATAGAGTACTAAAAATGAGCAAAAGCTGGAAAACAATATTTATGATAAAGGATTAAGAAAAGTGACACTACTTAATCTGATGAAAGGAAAGGTGATAAATGGCTCAATAAATGTGAAGTTCTTATAGAGAAAACTATTTGGTTTTTCTCCGTGAACAAAAAAAAGAAGCTGATAAAGGAGATACAAGGGAAATTTGGATTATCCATGAATATCACTGACTGTGGCAAATCTTAGAGGCAGGATGGAACAGTGAAAAGTGCCCTGGATCTAGAGCTGGAAGATCTGCATTTCAAATCTTGGCCTGGCAATTTCCTATGTGACCCTCAAAAAAAATTTATCTTCTCCAGACTTCAATTCCTTCATCCATAAAATGAAAAGATGACCCCTAAAGTCCCTTACAAATGTAAATATATGACTCTATTAAGAATAGCTGTGAAAGCTGCTTTCCTGGGGCAGCTAGGTAGTGCAGTGGATAGAGCACCAGCCCTGACCCAGCCTCAGACCAAACACTTGACACTAGCTGTGTGACCCTGGGCAAGTCACTTAACCCCAACTGCCAAAAAAAGAAAAAAAAAAGAAAGCTGCTTTCCTGGAAATCATTAGGAAAATGATAGAAAAATATTTGTTTGGGATAGTTTAGGCTCAGTATTGTCCATACAATCTCTTGAAATTTCTTCCAGTTCTAAGGTTTAATAATTATACTGATACTAAATAATCAAATTTTTAAATGTGACATTTTTAAAGTGCCTACTATGTGAAAAGCACTGAAGTAAAGGCTCTCTCCCACAAGCAGCAAAAGACTTGTATGCAAAGAGCTAAAATGCAAACTAGAATATGACAAAAGCATTATGACAGTTTTAAGTTCTAAAAGGAAAATCATTTCCAACTGAGGAAAGAAAAATCATTTCTCAACTAAAAGGGTTGGAGAAGGGTCTTGAAGGATGAATAAGATTTCGACAGGTAGAAATTGGGGGTAGAGAAATACATACATAGAAGACAGGTGGAGTAGAGGCATGGTATTAGGAAAACATAGGAAATATTCACAGAATAGTGAGTGGTCCAATTTGGCTGAAACACAGAGTATGTAAAAGAGTGTAGTGTAGGGAACCTGCAGCCTTGAGGCCCCATGTGGCCCTCTAGGTCCTTGGGCGAAGCCTTTTGACTGAGTCCAAGTTTTACAGAACAAATCCTTTTATTAAGGGGATTTGTTCTGTGAAGTTTGGATTCAGTGAAAGGGCCACACTTGAGGTCCTAGAGGGCCACATGTGTTCCCCACTCCTGTAGGATAAGGTTTCAAAGGCTGGCACCAGCTGGTGAAGGACTCTGTCAGGCAGAGGAGTTTGAACTTTATCTGATATGTAACAGAGAATCACTAAAGAGTTTTAAGCAACGGAGATGCTTAAATACTCAAGGCAATATGTAATGATGGCCAGGGGTGGTAGTGATGGTGGTAGGAATGGAAAGAGGCAATGGATACAAGAGATATTGTGAGAATATGAAGGACTTAGCAAGTGAATGGATATAGGAAGTGAAGGAGAAAAAGAAGTAAAAAATTACATGTCAGGGCAGCCAGGTGGCAGTAGATAGAGCACAGGCCCTGGCATCAAGAGAGCCTGAGTTCAAATCCAGTCTCAGACCAGATACTTGACACTTACTAGCTGTGTGACCCTGGGCAAGTCACTTAGCCCCAATTGCCTCGCCAAAAAAAAAAAAGAAAGAAAGAAAGAAAAAAATGACAAGTAGCCTTCAAGAATAGATAACTGCAACATCAACAACCAAGCACAATGTCTCGGCTTTAAAAAATCTTACCTCAATATCACGATTAAGCTGTTTCACTATTGCCGTGATATTTCTGATGTGCTCTTCTAAGAACAGTCTAGCCAAGCGATCTCCTCCACCTTTATTTTGCATTTTCTGCAAACTGTTAACAATGTCATCTTTTATACGAAAAGCATGTTCCACGAGTGCTGCAGTTGTTTTCTCATGGCACAGAATTCTATCTTCCAACTGCTCGACTAGGCTTGCAGATGAATATGGAGCCACACTCAAAGACTGGCTATGTCGTGGCATGGTTCTAACTCGCCTAAAAAAGGCAATAATTTCACGTGTATTGCTAACATAGGAAAAACCATGAGTGATTCTACATATTCCATAAAGCAAAAATAAGCATGTAAGCATTATGCACAAAAGGGGTATGGGGCAGGGTTTTCTTCGTTCTTCCTCCTAATTTTTCCCCCCAAGACTAGACAGCAGCTAGCATACTACCTGAATAATAGAGCAAGAGGGAAACAAATATATTAATATCTGGTCAAACATAATCCTCTAACCTTTGGGGCGCACAAAGCTACTATGACTAGGTAGGAAAATCTTCCATCTTACCCTATCCCTCAATACTTACAGACTTTATCTTCTCAGTGGGGATTCAACTGTTTCCCCAGTAGCCTGGGTGGGTCAAGAAATTAGGCAGAATTTCCAAGGGCAAAAATCTACGGCTACTGCCTCTTCTGTCCTTCTATCTTTATCCTTCTAAAAGTACAAAAATGGAGGTTACCCCTCTAGCCTTAGGGAAAACAGCTCACTACCTTCTGATATTGCATATTACAGGGTAGAACTTTGGAAAAGAGTAAACAATAATTCTCTTGCCCTTCAACAAAGCTATTCATGGTTAAATAGCCATAGGTTAAATACCCATATTACAAAACTATGCAGGATTATTACAGAAGAAAAGCAGTATTTGTATTAAAAAGATTAAGTCCTTGAAATTCATATTTTTCATATATTATACCTTTCCTCGGTGACAAGAGAAGGAAGTACAGTGCTTCGTTGTGCCATTTTCCTTTTCAATAATTCACATCTGTTGAAAAATATGCATCAAATTATTTAACAGTTTATATGTGGTACCAAAATAACTTCATAAATCCATAACAATGGGAACTATAAAAATGCGCAGAAAACTCCAGTCCTAAATTTTCACTCTTATTTTTAAGGAAGTTGGGGTTTAAATATGAAATAAACAACAAAAGATAAAAGTTAAGAAGAAACTTAGGTAAAACCAAAAAGCTTCTTAACATATACTAGTCTGATCAAAAAGCTTTTACCATAACAAAGCTTGAGCATTTTCCTTTATTATCAATATGTCTGAAGCAATAAATTTGTTAATAAAACTTAGAAAATTGTGAGTCTTTGTTAAAAATTAAATAATAAGTTATCATTGTACTATGATTCTGTGAGTCCATTACTGGTAACAATCATATTAATACTATATCTTTATTAATAGCTTACAGAATTTAGATCTAGAAGTCTTCACGAATCATCTAATCCAGAGGTTCCCAAACTTATTTAGCCTACTTCCCCTTTTCAAAAGAAAAAATTACTTAGCACCCCCTCCCAGAAATCAAGTTTTTTTAACCCCTTTAACAGTTTTTTTTTCAAATTTGCATCATTTCAAAAAAATTTTTTTTTAGTTGACACATCTTAAATTTAATAATTTATTGTAAATTTCTGGGTTTTTTCCTGCATTAAAATTTTGATGACATAATATTGCATCTTGTAACTATAAAGTATCATATTATAAACAAGTCACTACATGCGCATATTCCTGCTGATGCATACTGGACCTTCTGACAATGTGCAGCACACTTGCCTGCCAATACTGGTTTGTTAAGACTTGTTGGTGTACTTGACCACTGATCATTATAACATGCATTTTGTGGGTTTATCTGGAAAATAATATAATCACTACAACTTTAACTCTGTTACACAACAGATGAAACATGTACAAATGGTTTTTCAAAATTTTCTTCTCTTCTTTCCTTGTTTCCACTGCCCCCTTATTTTTATTCAATGCCCCCCCAATTGTACCTGAAGCTACTACCACCACAACCACCCCCACCATTCCAGCACCCCCCAGGAGGTGGTATCACCCACGTTGGGAAACTATGATTAGTCCAACCTCACCTATCAAAGGAAGAACTGTGGGTCAAAAATGTGAAGTATTCTGCATAAGGTTACACAGGGAGTAAAAGAATAGAAGCAAGACATGAATCCAGGTCCTCCTTGAAGAATTTCATCCTTCAGAGGTGGAAGAAAAAGGGGAAATTTAATTTTGGATCTGATTTTCACTAAGAGGTAGAAATGGGTTTTTAGGGTAAAAAATGATGGGAATCCTAGAAGAAAATGACCACTCTTTTAGAATTTGTGACACAGCAGAGGAAATTCAGGCATAGTGAGACATGCATTATGGATTTTGGAAAGCAGACATCAAAAGAGTGAGAGGAAAGAAAGGTATGAGCCGTATAGGCTCAGGAGGAAGGAAAGATGTTCAAGAACAAAATTCTGAAATACAAAAGGAAACAATTCTGGTGAGAAGGAAAAATATGATTTGTTTGTTTGTTTTTTGTTTGTTTTTTTTTTTTAGGCAACTGGGGTTAAGTGACTTGCCCAGGGTCACACAGCTAGTAAGTGTCAAGTGTTTGGTCTGAGGCCAGATTTGAACTCAGGTCCTCCTGACTTCAGGGCCAGTCTCTATCCACTGTACCACCTCGCTGCCTCGAAAAATATGATTTGTATGAAAAGACTGATATGGATACTCAGTGAATACACCAACCAACTTAGATTTAAGCAAAAATCATAGAGAAGTTGCAAGGCCAGATAACAAGATGAGTATAGCCTAGTCTTGTAAAAAGTATCAGGAATGCAAAAATTTGGAATGAGTTAAGGCCAGAGAAGGAAGCCAAGGATAATAGAAAAGGGTTGTTTGGTTTGGCTGGTTTTGGGGGGGGGGTAAGCTATTTTGAGAGAAAGAAGAGCACCAAAGAAGGGATGAGATGTCTGTCTGGAGCAGATGGGGCTATGATAACTGACAACAAAGAGAAAGCAAAGCTACTCCACTCTTATTTTGTTTCTGCTTCCCCTGCCAAGGAGAATGACTTTTGCAATAGGAATAACAGAACAAAAATGACTAACAAGCAACTAATACCCAGATAAGTAAAAAAGTAGCATGAGGGCACCTAGCTGCCCTAGGTAAACAAAAGAGAATGCATGAAAAAGCACTTATTAAGTGTCTACTATGTGCCAGGTACAGTGTTAGGCACAAGGGATTTAAAAAAAAAAAGATGACAGGCCTCATTCTCAGGGAATGTTCATATTCTAATTGGGAAAGATGATATATGTAAGAGATGATACTGCAAACAGGATGGAAAGACTAGCAGGTCCTAAGGAGGTGGCTGCAGGAGGGATTAAAACCCCATGAGTCCATGAGTCTGTAAGATGCATCAAGGTATCTTCCTCTCATCACTGGGCACTGGAGAGTGGATTCATCGGTCACAGCAGAATAGAGATTCCGGGTGTCTTCGGGCAGGGGTGGGAATGGGAAGGTCAATATCTGGCCAAGTAAGGGAAAAGCAAGAAAGTTAGAGGTGAGAAATGAGGCAGGGAAGGAGAAAGGCAATCCCAGTTCCAGCTTGGGCCCTCTAAGCAATCCCATTGAGTAGAAAGGGGAAAAGGCTCCACTTGGCACCAGCTATAGGAATGAATCCATGTCACCTGAGTCAGATGAACTACATGGTTGGGCACTGAAATATCTGGCATGTAAGTCTGCTGACCACTGCCAACAATATGAGAAACACCATGGGAAACAGGAAAAGCGCTCAAAAAGGGGAAAAGTCTCAGTTTTCAAAAGAAGGTAAGAAAACAGTCCATAAACAATAGGCCTGTGAACGTGACTTCAATTCTATAAAAATTCCACAATGGATCATTACAGAGATGCCTGGTGAACATTTACACAGGGAAACAGTGATTACAAAGCCAGCATGGCTTTACCAATAACAGTGCATGCTAAGCTAACTTCATATCCTTTTTTGTTGCAATTACTAAACTCAGAAAAAAGACAGCTTGGTGTAGTAGGCAGAAAGCTGGTCTTGCAGCCCAAGAAGACCTTGGTCCAGTTCTGACCCTAATACATCCTGGATATGTAACCCTTCACAAGTCTCTTAAGCTCTCCAGACAACTATCTAAACCTGTAAGTTGAAAAGTAGTTGCCAACTGCACTGGTAGAGAGAGTTTCCTCATCTTTAATCAATCAACATTTATTAAGCAACTACAATGTGCCCAGTGTTGTGCATTGCTATATCAATGAAATCACAGGTCCATCCCTCACCTCTAATCCCCCAAGTAATAGATGAGGAGAATGATGACAAGACAGAAAGATTTAGATTAAATAATAACATAAACAGACATATTCAGAAATGGTTGGATGGTTGCATTCAAAGAATAGCTGTTAATGGTTCAGTGTTAATACGGCAGGTCTCTAGTATACAACCCCCAGGGGATTTGTACTCGCTCTGTGCTAGCTGACATTTTCTTCAACCGTTTGGATAAAGGCATGGAAAGCGCGCTCATCAAATTTGTAGATGACTCAAAACTGAGAAGTATAGCCAACCCACTGGATCAAAGAATCAGGAACTAAAAGGTTCTTGAAACAGTAAAACAAGGAGTTGACTCTAATAAAATGAAATTCAATTGGGATAAATGTAAAATCTTATACTTTACAAAAAATCACCTATACAAGTACGAGGGGAAGATATCAATAATCCCACTGTACCCTGCCCTCAGCAGACCTTATCGGATATACTGTGCTCAAGTGAGATACCATAGTTTAAGAAGGACATTAGCTAAAGAAGATCTAGAGGAAGACAACCAGGACAGTAAAGGGCCTTAAATCCATTTCATCAAATATCAGCTGAAAGAAATGGGCATGATTAACCTAGAGAAGATTTAGCTGTTTTAATCAAGAAAAAAAAAATATATGAAAGGCTAGCATGTGGAAAGGGATTAGAATTATTCTCCTTGGCCCCAAAAGGCAGAATTAGAAGCAATAAGTAGAAGCTGCAAGAGTCCAGTTTAAACCTGATGTCAAGAAAAACTTTCTAACAGTTAAAGCTGTACAAAATTGAAACAGGCTACATCAAGAAGTGTTGGCTTCTCTGTCCTCAGAAGTATTCAAACAAAGGCTGTATATTAGAATAGGGATTCTTTTCATGTATGGGTTAGACTAGCTGGTTGCTATGGTCCCTTCCAATTCTCAGACTCTGTGATTCTACAGTTTTGTAATTCAAAGCAAGTACTCCTTTCATCATACCACACCATCTCACCAATTACTTGGATTACATTTTAGTTATAATAAATATTTCATAATCTCAACAAACAAATAAGAGAACCATATCAAAATCTTTTAGTTTTCATTTACTAAATGAATTAGTGTGATAATTTCTTACAAATGGTATTCTAGTTATTGATATTTAATTTGTTTTCACTTAACTTACAGATTTATTTTTACTAGTTTAAATATTTTATTTTTTCAATTACATGTAAAAATAATTTTAACATTAATTTTTTTATTTTAAATTCCAAATTATCTCCCTCCCTTCTCCCCTTATTGAGAAGGCTAGCAATTTTATATAGGTTATACATGCGCAGTCATGCAAAATATTTCCATATGAATCATGTTGTCAAAAAAAACACAAAAATAAAGTTTTAAAAGTATACTTCAATCTGCACTCAGATTCCATCAGTTCTTCCTCTGTAGATGGACAGCATTTTTCCTAAGTCCTTCCAAATTGTCTTGGATCACTGGACTGCTGAGAATAACTGTTATTTATAGCTGATCACTGTATAATATTGCAGTTAATGTATACAATGTTCTCTCGGTTCTGCTCATTTCACTTTGCCTTGTTTCATGTAAATCTTTCCAAGTTTTTCTGAAAGCATCCTGCTCATCATTTCTTATAGCACAATACTATTCCATCACAATCATATACTACAACTTGTTCCCCAATTAATAGGTATCCCCTCAAT